ACCACGTTTCAAATCAAGGCGCGAATTGTCGGTTCTAATAGAAAGCATAATGCAGCTTCCATGACAATATTTTTACGATATATCAAGTAATAATAGAAAGTTTTCCATTGTTTAATGATATTATAACTTATAATGTGATTACATACATAAAAGGAAAGGAAACGAACTGTTGTTTGAAACAGAAGGTAAGCTTAAGATGCGTCATTCAAGTTCCGTGTTCTTAGAAGCTGAAGCGTATTTAATGCTTTGTCTTCACGTACAAAAAACAAAAATTATTTTAAAAGTACACAAAAAGCAATCGACTGATTTTGGATCTTAAAAGGAATATTTAACCAATGTCAAGAGAAATCTTAATTTAAATTTTTAAAGTATATGTTAGGAGTACTTTATTTCTTATTAGTTTTCAATATTATCTATCCGCTTGTATTTTAAACATGATAATAAAGAAAAGTAAAACTTTTCGTAATTGGCATTTTACCTGTTTCGTTATAAGAAAAAATACCTTATTTTGATATGTGAATGCATCATGCATTTTTTACTTATCCTCCTGAAATAGGTTTCGTCATACAAGGTTTATTTTAATTAACGTGCTTTTTAAGAAGCATCTTTTCCTCACTTCTAGTGTTTCTTATCTTCCATCAGAAAGGGCAAAATAAACGAATTTAAATAATGAGCAAGAATCTAACATTAGAGAGAGACAGAACTTTGAAACTGAGGCTCGGAAAGTGAAGGTTCTAATTTTTCATAACGAAGTGATGTACTTATTGTTGGTGAATCAACTTTTCGGTTCTAGCTACGAAAGTAGGAGTGTTAGCATTTTAAAATTTTATTTATAATTATTTTGAGCCATTTACTTCATTTAAGTTTGGAGTTACAGCTAAAATTGCTAACAAAATTTAATTTCTGTCACAAGATCCGAAATAACATTTTGTTAACCTCCTTAGCTGTAACTCAAAGCTTGTTGGTGTTGTCGAGTCCATATTTCATGGAAGATTGGTTGCCAGAGCCTCAAGGAGGTTGGACTTCTACTTCCCCCTCAATTTTGAGGGTAAGCGCCCTGGGGCTCCAGGGGTCTTCCACCCCTCTTCCACATCACCAAACCACGCGAAAGGACTTTCGGCTTGCCGTATATTTATAGTGCCTGCAGGCCGCAAACACACTATACATTTACAAACATCCATGCTTTCTCGGGGATTCGAAACCAGGCCAATCGGTACCTTAGTATCTAAGCGGCAACTCCAAATTTAAGTAATGATAAATAATTTAGTTGCTTTTATACTTTATTATTAGCAATTTGTGCTATGGCATTTTAATTTACAAAGTAACAAATATTTGTTAGGAGTTCTAGTCAGATTGTTGACTAAGTATAATCAGAGAGTAACTTTATGCCTAAACCTTTAAAATTAGGCAAAAAAGAGCATTAGATTGTCGTAGATTTTAATATAACTCTAATTATTTCGAAGGTAATCCGTTTTGTTCTGAAGCAATTTTTTTTTTTTTTTTTTTTTTTTGTGTGTGTGTGTGTGTGTTAACAACAAAATATTGCATGTAGATCAGCTTAATTATGAAATAATATTAGAAATTTCAAAATAATAGAAATCAAAAAACAGATTTAGTCAAAAAATTAATAAATTAAAAAAAAGAAAAATGAATAATAAAAATTAACTAAAGGGCGAGAACGAAAGTACCGACTATCAAAGTTAAATAACAACCAAAAGAGTAAATGTGCGCAAGCAAACAAATTACGAAACATCAAGAAAGAGCTAAATTACCGGTTTGATCTCAGGAAGTCTATCTGACAAACAAAGCAGTTTGTTAGACTGTGAACTGCCTGCTACTAGCATGGAAACTGAATATTCCGAAGAAATTTCCTCAAGACAGCTGCGACATTTCAACCAATTTTCCAGCTCATGAACCAATTTGCAGTCTATATTTCTCTGTCCAGAACTCAGAAGAATACACGGTTACTTGAGTGAACGTGCGTTGTGTTGGTGCATCGTAAGGCACTGAAAGTAAAAAATGAGCCATGGTACGCAGGTATCGGGAACAGTTCTGCAACAGAATGGGTGTCCAGTAATAAAATGTTTGTACCAGTTTGGAGTTTTTTTAGTTTGGAGTTTGAGGGTTTTTTAGCCCAAAAGGCTTTAGCCCAGAAGGGCTATTATTTTCGTTTTGGCATTTTGCTTCGATCACTTTCTACGTTGATTCACTTTTAAATTTTTTTCCACCAAATATTACAGCTCTGTATTATATTTAAAGAAGTTAAATAATGAAGAATCTTCATAAACGTATGTATGTGTTCTCGCTTTGTGAAAAAACAACGGTACCGAGAAGCCATCAAATTTTGAATAACATTATCCTCCACAGAATATCGACATCTTGAAGCCCTAATTTGGAATTTGGAACTTGTTTTATTATTTATTTCAGATTTTATCAAACATTAAAGAATTTCTGATTAACAAACTCAATGATTTCAAAACGAGGAATGGCAACATTCTACGGAGGAAAAAAAAAGTTATCTCCAGCGCGCAAGACTGTGTATCGGAAATTCTGTGGGTGTGAGCAATAAATTTTACGAAACTATCTTTTAGTTTAATACCCTTCTAAATAAAAACGGCAAATTAATTAATTGTTTAAGAAAATCGCCTGGAAAGTTAGCTCGAAGGCTCTGTAGCACTCTGTTCACGGGATCAGTAGCATCTGGCCATTTTATAAATTAAAGTATTATCAATGATTTTCTAGAAATGTCTCAGTGCCAATTAATTAGTTTAATAGTTTTGAAACTGAAAATCTTCATCTGCAGTTTTGTTTTATTTTGTTTAGGTTCTAGATCCGAAAGTCTGAGTATTCTTCTGGTTCTTTAACATTAGTTTGATTAATATAAGGCAACTAGGATAAATAAGTTGTTTTTCACTTTCATTGTTATTGCTATTGGCAGTAATGTCGTCAGTAAACAAATTTAAAAAGTTCAGTATTCTATAATATCTTCATAAAAATATACTTTTTAAAAATGGGAAGAAGTTATAGTTTGTTTTAAAACAGTACTATTTGAAATATGTTTGTTGGTAAAGGTGTTCTTGAACTTTAATCTAACTGTGAAAATGAGTGCATTTAAGACAGGTGGTCCAGTTTTCAAATTCAATTTTTTTTTTTTTTTTTTTTTTTTTTTTTTTTTTTTTTTTGTTTTGTTTTGTTTTTGTTTGGAAAGAGATTGTAAAACTTCCTGCTGTAAAGTCTGCTGTAAATTTCACTTATACATTACATAGTGGACAAGTTTTCAAGTCATAAAAGTTAGTGTCTCTAATGGGATATTTTTAAATTGATAGATTAATTTTCTAAAATTTTGAGGTAATCCAAATGCTAGAAATAATTTTATTAGTGTAATTATTAACAGCTAATATAAAATTAATTTATTTTTCCCAATTAAAATATTTCTGAATATAAATTAATTTTCTAAATTGTACATTAGTTAGCTCAGAAACAGGATATTTTTCTTTTATATTTCTCAATGCACTAACTTTCTGATGAAGATATCATGGAAAAGGTGAAATCCTTTAAGGTTTTCACTTCTCATATATTATGTTTCACTTCTCATGTAGTATGGTTGTCTCGTATTTATTCGTTTTTTTCTCGTTTCAGTTTGCACTGTTTTGATCGAATTTCGTTTTTGCTCTGCTTTATTACATCTGAGTGTGTTTTTTTAATTGCTTTCCGTTTAAATTTTGATTTTAATTTAAGCAAAAAGGATTTCATTTTTTAGAAAAATTTTCACTTATATTAGTTTTTCTTTTTTCTGTATATATATATATATACGTGTGTGTGTGTAGAAAGAAAGACAGTGAAACTAGTTCATTCCGTAAAATGTATGTTGAGTAAGCGTCTAGTTCTTTAAAAAATGTCCCACTTCTGAAACATGTTTACAGATAGAAAGGTTTAACATAAATATCTTTATTTTATAATGAAAAACATACTGCAAAACATAGAAGTAGTGTAAAAATTTGCCAACTGGAGTCTTTGGATTTCTTAGTTCTTTCTTAGTATTCTTTGCTATTATTTATAGTACAAGGACGTCATAAGATTGCTTAAAATGATAAATCATTAATTAATATGAAACTTTTTTTTAATATTATACTGTTCTAAACATAGTTTCAAGTAGTTTGATGCTAATTCTATCCTGCTTAGAAATTACTCATTGTTTAAGTAAAAATTAACAATACACGTTTTTCAGTTTTATCTAATTATGCAATTTTGAATAGGCACACATAGAATCTAAAATGCAAAGAAAAAAACTATAATAACTTCCGATGAAAATTTTATAAATAAAGCACCTGGTTTTATTTAATCTCATAAGCGAAACAGCATATTAAAATCATATAATGTATGCAAAAATTTTTCCCGCATTAATTCACGACTATGCGTTTTATTACTTTTACATAAAAACATTGTTATTACAAAACAAATTACGAGAGATTTATTTACGGTACCTCACAGCTTGCTTAATTATAACGCGGTGCAAATATTTTTTGTACCACTTCTTAAAAAGAGATAATATATTAGAGTTTAGCAGCTTGACAGGAACATTTACAAAGAAAAAAATGGTTTAATTAAAAGTGTTAAAATGAAATTCCTCCTGCTGAGAAAAATTTCCAAAAATTTATTAATCTTCGGCACTGAAAAGTTTTGACCATAATATGCAAAAATTTAAACTTTGGTCTTTTGAAAATTTGCTCTCGAGAAGAGTTAAAAAATTAGGGCGTAATATTTTAAAACTGTAATACTTAAAATTCATATTAGATGTATGTGTATATAGGAAACTCCGTAGGTTTTAATTCTAGTTGTAAGGAGTATCCTTCTTCAGGCTATTATTTGCTCATTTAGTTTGTGCATTGCTAATATTCCGTGTTTCCTTGTCATAATTTTTAAAATAGTGAAATTCTTGAAATTTGCGACAGCACTCGTTATATTTAATTGCATTTTTTTTCATACAACTCAAATTCTGCTTTAGAATACTTTGAATGGCAGTTAGATCAGTAAAGGCAGATCCTTCAATTTTGTTATTATAGAATATTCTGTCTGTGGTATAAAATAGTAAAAAAAAGGTTTAATAATTCTTCAAGGAAATGTTCAAAATAATAAGCAATGGAACACTTAATGTAACTTAACTGATGTATCATATCATTTCTAAATAAACTGATGAAAAGAATCCATATCCAAAAGATTTTAACATTTGTCTTTTCATCAAAGAGCCGTTGCCACAGCTTTAATGAATACATTTGATAATAATTTCAAACACGCATCACTCAAACACCGAAAAGTTTTAAATGTTAATCGGAGACATTTTTAGATACTGGTTTGGATTTGAATTGAACTAGCGTATTCGATTATAGTTAAGCACACTAGGGTTGTCTGCCCTAGTAAATTGATGTCTTCTTGGAAGAATTTATCAGGAAAACTGGTTTTTATTCGTGTTATACATAGAGAAAATTATGAAAGATCATGATCAGGCTTCCAGTCCGTTCGTTGGGCTTAAAGTTCATGCATAAGGTATTTTCACTTTCCTTTCTGCATGCCTTCGTGGTGTTACGGTAGCACACTCCGCGCGTACTCAAGAGGTCCAGGTTCGAGTCTTTCCGACGGCATTGCTCATTTTTCATGTCTTCTGTTAAAAAAAAATATTCTAATGACTCTACAGTGGCTAAAAGGTGGTGAATGATGATTCTTCGCCCCCAGGATTTGGTAATTGTGTCCCCTAATCACAAGTGGCTCTTTAAAATGGAGACTGTATAAGGTATTTTCTCCCTTCTTTCTCCATGCCTTCGTGGTGTAACGATAGCACAATTGGTTCGTGTTCGAGAAGTCCAGGTCCGAGTCTCGGCGGGGACATTTCTCATTTTTCATGTCATCTGCTTCCAAAAAAAATTCTGGTGACTCTACGTGTGTAACTCAGTAACTCAGTGCTCAACGATCTCATCTCCTTCCCTACTAGTGGACCCTCATTTGGATTGCAATAGCACTCAGGGTAATCACAAAACTTGCTTGTTTTCTAAAATTAAATGAAACACAAAAATTAAAACAAAATTAAAACAAATTCACAAAAATTAAACGATTTTAATATCTAATGTTAGAATGCAGTACTAAAATATTCAATTCAGGAAACTTAATTTTCAGGATTTTACTCCAGGGGCAGATCATCCAAGCTTTATTCGCATCATATTCCTTTTGGTATTATGATGTGCGAAACATGTACTCTAGCTAGCTGTGCTACAACTGATTATTAGACTTTTTTCTTTTTTTAACATAAAAAAATTAATGCAAGGTATATAGTCACAGCCATACTCTTAATTTAAAATTCCATGACTTGCAGGAAGTAAAAATGTAACACCTGATTCTACTCAATTAAGTAAAATACAGGGAAACTGCAGGAATCTGTGCTCTAAAACCGTGAAGATTTTTAAAAATTGTAAGAATGAGATAAGATCAATGGAGTGTGATTTTCATGAAACGGGTGAAAAACGTTTATGTCAGTCGGTAAATATTTAGCTCAAATTTTCACTGATACAAGGTGTAGTACAACATCAACCATAATGATCAGAATCATCATAATCAGAATATCATTGAAAATGACACCGAATAACTTCTTCTGTTAGAATTATTAATATTTTTAATGTGTAATGATTTTCCTGTGTGTGAATAAATTGTTAAATCATTTCCAATACTATACTGACCGTGATAGCTGTTCTCGACTTAGTATAAAACACGGTGTTCATGAAATTTTGAACTAAATATTTACTATCCGCTCCTTGATATAACCTTGCAAAGTCAACTTCCGTGCGATATATTTTCGCGCAAACAACATTCCACTATACCTATTTGTTTGGCATTTATAAACGTTTGAAAAACTTACGTACTTTTCAATCACTTTACAGTTTTAGGAAACAGTTTTATTTTTTGATGTTTACCAATGTAACGTTTCCGATATTTTCCTGAAATTCTCATGTAAATTTTAATTTTATATTTAAATGTTTTTCAACTATGTGAACCTTTTCAATTCAATTATAATCTAAAAATTTGCAGTTTGAACATGTTTGAACTTTATCACAAATAGGTAAACGTATAAGAGTATTCACAAAAAGGAACCATTAAAAATAATCTCATGATCTTTCTCAAATAAAATGTAAATGAATATATATATTTAAAGTGGAAAAAAGAAAGTCATTTTTAATTTGCATTCAAATTTGAATTATCTGTTAAGCAAATATTCAATTATGTAAGGTAAAAATTTAATTCTATGAAACGCAAATGCTTACTCTGTACTGAAATTCTAATCAGCATATGTTTCATTGCTTGTAGAATATTCTACTTTAAATGCTTAGAAAGTTCATAATCCTGGAAATCAATTAAAACACTAGAAGCAGGGCAATCTTCAGATAAAATAAATAGCTGAATTATTTTACAGACTTATCTCCATAGCCTGAAAATTCCAAATATCTTGAACAACAGCCAGAATAAAATACTCAAGAGCCAAGTCTAGAAAATATTTATTTGACTATAAATGTTCTTCTCTATGCAGAATCTACAAATAAGTAACTTTTTTCTGTAACTCATCTTTGCTCCTGAAATTCCGATATGTTAGTTTCGTTCGGAATACAGAAGCTAGATCAATTTACAAAATCTGAATTTAAATGGGGTTTTATACAAGCAACCTAATGACCAACTTCTACCATTATACCTAACTACAGAGTTGCGCACCTAAATCAAAGCTCATGATAACGGCTTGAAATCATGATCAATAGGCATGAGTACTCTTCCATGGCGAGTAAACATTAAACTCTGATTCTTGATTAGTTTGCTTTCAAAAAAGTCAGAAATTAAAAATCTTCTGTTATCGAAAAAAATTGAGTACTTCTGATGCGAAATGGCATCCCGATGGATAAATGTAAACTATTCATATACTTTAACAAGTCTCATTATTACACCGAACTAAAGAAATCGATTCTTAGAACCTTAAAATTAACATCAGATTTTAATCATTAAAATTAACAGGGTATAACCCTTAACCCAGAGATCAGAACCTTATAAAGTATTTCTCCCGCCTTCTTAGCATGCTTTCGTGGTGTAATGGTCAGTACACTCGACGCGTATTCGGATGTCCGTGGTTCGAATCCCGGCAAGGGCATTGCTCATTTTTCATCTCTCTTGCTTTAAAATAATATCTAATGTCTCTACAGTGGCACTCGAACTACAAAAAGGGGTGGATGATTGTTCTCCACCATCAGGATTTGGCGATTGGGTCCCCTAATCCCCAGTCGGCCTTTAAAATGTGGAATATATAAAATATTTCTCCCGCCTTCTTAGCACGCCTTCGTGGTGTAATGGTCAACACACTCGACGCATATTCGAAAGGTCCGTGGTTCGAGTCCCCGCGAAACCATTGCTCAATTTCATTTCTTCTGTTTCAAAAATAGCATAATATCTCTACAACCATAAAAGGTTTCGTTGGTATGTAGCTGCTGTACGGAGAGGAACAAAAACTGTTCTCGATTGTCATGATACACTGTTCTTATTATAATTAAATGTTTCCTACGAAATCATAATGGTAGTTTTTCCTTAAAAGACCTGAAGATATCTCTTCTGTTCCAAAATGTAGTAAATTAAAATCTACATTATATCCAAGTGTACAAGTAAGTCCTGATTTTTTCGATTACTATCTTCAGGGAATTACATCATGTTCATCATCAAGGAAAAGCACTTTTGGCCAAGTTTATTATTCGGAAGATAATCCTGGTCCATATAATGTTAGTCAACGAACACATTGAAAGTGATAAAACATTAAGGCTGAAAGCACCAGCCAGTCATGTTTTATGGATTGCGAAACTCATTGAATATAACAGGAATATTCTGATCACACCAATTAAAGTAACCTCCCTTTGCCAGGTTCTTATCCTTTTAGGGTAAGAGCTTTGGCAAGAAAAACAAAATTTTCTGAAACAATTTATTCTTAGCAGTACAACTGCAGTTGTGAAATTAGCAAAATAATCAAGCAGAAAATACTCCTTCCCTTTAGTACTTTAAAAACTACTCAATCACTTTTGATCACTCTTTCGATCATTTGAATTTCTATCCTTCTATGAACATTATACAGAACTAAGACTGCGTAGCAACTGCATTTACTAGATTAAACTATAATTCTAGTTCTGTATAATAATCGCGTAAGGTGTTTTGTCTACTTCTTGATTACTACTTGCGTTTCCCAGTTTAGGAGGGGACGTATTATAAGTTCATATTTCGTGTCAATTGTTTAAGCTGTGTATACTCACGTATTTTATCTTCATCTATTCGTACACTATAGTTTTCTCATTTTTTTATGATATATTTAATGTAATTTGTTATGTTGTATTTAATGTAGCTTACATATCCCTTTTTAATGATTTATGTAAGGGAATGCTATTTATGGCCACACTTGGAAAGACAAATGACTGAGAACAGTTTCCTCTGGAGCTCGATTTCTAACAAAATGGGGAGAATGTATACTTAATTTTATGTTTCCCTTGGTGTGAAGCTTAAATTTATTTCTGGCGAAACGTCCTCCAAGCAAGTGTCATCCCCAAATCAGGTATATCTTTAACTTTTTCCTGTAGTGAATTACTTCTTAATCAACTTATCCTCAGCAGTTTATTGCTGCAATTGGATATGTAGTAGAAATTGTAAAAGATTTAATTTGTAAAGGTGTTGGATCCAATATATTAAGCAAGTACATTTTCTACGGCTATGCAGGTTCCACATATGTAGATCGTTGATTGTTAAACTAAAGTAGGATATATTTTAAAAGAAGAAAAATCAAATATTTCACTCTCTAAGTTTTTTTAATTATTCAACATCTCTTTAATTTTCTAGCGTCAGATTCCCATAGATAACTGATTCTTCCAAAATATGCAAGCATTATACCTTAACATGGATAATTCCATGCAGAACCATGAAACCAATGCAGGCAACTTTACCGCAGTATATCAAATCGAAAAGGAAATTTATTGTCGTTGCTACTGATTCGGTTTAGCGATAGAATTTCATTAACTGTAATGTTATTCTACTGCTTAGTTTTAATTTATAAACTTTCAAATTGTAAAATAAACGAGTAATAAAAATTAAAATTTGAATACTGAATTTAGTAAACATTTAATGAAACTCATTTCGCTGGTGGAATTGGTGTAATTTAGATTAATAACTTCTATATTTCTCTTTCTATATTTCTCTTACTTTATCATCATTATATCCTAAAGAATATACTAGAAAAGGGAAACGAAAATACAGAGTTTCCTCTATCATTTGTTTTGCAATGACAGCGAAAACAGTTTAAAGAACTACTTTCATTTTATAAGAAAAGCATTCTTAGAATTTTTAGCTCAGTTCATTTAACTTTAATGTATTATTAGTGAATTCTCTAGAACTATCTGCATATTAACTTGATAAAAGAGCTTCTTATTTTTTCAATATCCACATTTCCACTTAGAAAACTTTAGAAGCTTTCGCTAGCGGTTCTTTAAATAAAAATTTCCAACACATTTGGATTTTTCAGCACATATATTTTTGCCGTTATAATATTAATATGTGTTAAATAGTTTACAAGGAAACTTCATTTATGAGGTAATGTTCTTTTCTGTTACGCAAAATGACTTGCCCTCTTCTACTTGTAGAGACATTTGTTTCGGAAGCAAAAGAGATTGAAAAATTAGCAACCGCCTTCGCCGAGAATCGAACCACGGACCTCAGGAATACCGGCCCAGCTTGCAGAACCACTACACCACGAAGGCACGCCAGGAAAGCGGGAGAAATACCTTTTATACTCCCCTTTTTAAAGGGCGACTAGGGTTTTAGGGGACCTAGTCGCCAAATCCTGGTGTGGAGAATCCTCATCCAACGCCATTTTAGTTCAGGACATTAGGTTAATTGTAAAAGCGGAGAGATAATAAATGAGCAATCGCCTTGGCCGAAAATCGAACCACGGACCTCTGGAATATCGGCCCATCGTACAGAACCCCTACTACA